AAACGAGGATTTGTAAAGAAGAATGTCGGAGGATTTCGATATAAGCCAAGAGGAGACTGGTTTTCCTTTGCTAAAGTAAGGAAACTTTGCTTCCTTTGATCCTGTTAACAAACGCTGGTTTTCACGAGACTCACCGGCGCATGCGCAGCACTGACCTCATATGTCATCAGCCCGGAGCTGCTGCCGTGTGCAATTGTTGGCGCAAGCTACATTAAAGTGATTATTACGTTTTGAATATGGATATTTTTCTTACAAAACGCATTGATTCGCTACAGAAGGCCTATGTCCACCCCCCGGAGCCGTGTGAGACACTTTTTTTAATGGATGGGCGCTTTTTATTTAACTTCTTTTGGACTGATGCATGCAACATCCACTGAGTTGCATTAAACAGCTTGAAAGATCAAAGAAAATTTTTAATATAACTCCGACTGTATTCATCTGAAAGAAGAAAGTCATATACACCTAGGATGACTTGAGGGCGAGTAATTTGTGGGCTAATTTTCATTTTTGGGTGAACTAACCCTTTAAGTACTAAAATTACTAAAACTGAAAAATAAAATAACTAAATATTTAGAAAATGTTAAATGAACTGTTTCTGTTAACTGTTTCAATTAAACATTTCTGAAGCTATATTTCTAACTTTCTTTTAAGTACTAAAGTGATTAAAACAAAAAAAAAAATTTATAAAAATAACTACATCTTAAAGAAAAATAATAAAAACCTGTACAACTAATAAAACTGACAAAAACACAAAATTAATAAACTAACATTTTAATGGAATTGGAAAATATACAAAAATAAATCCAACTAAATCTTAACAATTTCTCAAAATTTGTTTTTTTTAATATAAAATATTGATACTTAAATAAGACAGGGATGTACCTCTACGGATCTTGAAAGAAGAGCTTTCAGATGCGCCCGTATGGTTCTCATCATGGCAGAGAAGAGTATCCGATGCTCTTTTGGGTCTCCATCTGAAACAAATAAACATATATGGTATAAAACCCTCTAGATCATAGTGAAATCTCCTGCTCTAGACCACAGGCACAAACCACCATACCATGGTTCAGATTCTCACCTGTTGTGTCCTGTGAAGTCTCTCCCTGCGGTGGGAGTTTGACATTGGGCTCTGAAACCAGGCGTCTCGGACACCTTATTGGGTGTCCTGTTCCCCTGAACAGGGCAGATTTTTATCGGTTGTTCATTCATTTTAAAACTGATCAGTCCACGTGTGGCTCCTTTGGGAATGTTATCCGAGCAGGTGCGTGTGACGCGGCCTGGTGTGCGTGAGTCCGGTGAAAGATCCCGCCGGTCACCGCTGAGAGACGGCCTGACGGGTCTGCAAGAGAGAAATGGACACAAATACAAATAAAATGTGCCATTATTCAACTGTTAATGATGTTTTGCTCTCTAAAGGTCCTTGCACACCGAGTCCGAAATTTCGTATGCGTTTTTTTGTTTTTCCGTATTTGTCATCCTTTCCAATTAAAATGCTTGCTATGGATGCGAAAACGCAGACCTGCGAATCGAACCTGATCTTAATTTTTTTTATGACGGACGAAAGTTTCGAAGGCAGTGTGTAAACGTGATTGACACAACGTGAGGTTGTATTTATTTTTTAACGTGCGAAAATTTCGGACTTAGTGTGCAAAGACCTTAAACGTGGCTCAGATCCTTGTTTCGATAAAAATAATAAAAATAAATAATAAAAAAATAAATACATCACAGGTCAAAGGTTTGGAATAATTATTGTTTTTGTTGATGTTTTTGATTTGTTACTGTCTCTTTTGCCTACCAAGGCTGCATTTATTTAATCAAAAATACAGTAAAAACAATAATATTGTGAAATATTATTACAATTTAAAATAAATGTTTTCTAACAGAATATATTTTAAACTGTAATATATTCCTTTGATGCAAATCTGAATTTTCAGCATCATAACTCCAGCTTTCAGTGTCACATGATCCACATGATTGATTTTTTTAATCAATTTATTTATTTATTTGTGTGGAAACACTTCCACTCAAAAGTTTTAAGTAAAAAAAAAAATAAAAAAAATAATAATAATTAAAAGTGAAAGTAAAGATATTTATGATGTTACAAAAGATTTATATTTCAAATAAATTCTGTTTTTTGTTTTTTTTCTATTCATCAAAGAATTCTGAAAAAAAACTGTATTATAGTTTTCACAAAAATATTAAGCTGCAAAAACTGCTTTCAACATTGATAATAAGAGCCCTGATTAATAATTTAGCACCAATAATAACTGAGCCAGCATATTAAAATGATTCCTGAACAATCATGTGACACTGAATACTGGAGTAATGATGCTGAAAATTCAGCTTTGAATCACAGGAATAAATTACATTTAAAAATATATTACAATCGAAAACAGTTATTTGAAATGGTAATAATATTTCACAATATTACCATTTTTACTGCATTTTTAATTAAATAAATGCAGCCTTGGAGAGCATAGACATAGAATTATGAAAAATTATAATTACTAGTGTAACAGTGAATCTAGTCTTAACACACACACCTTGCAAAGTGAATAAACAGCTCCATCTAGTGACACTTTCCAAACTTTCAAAGCATCCAAAGCATGGTATACTGAAGTCTTACCTCACCGTTTCACTCCTCTGAGTGTCTTTTGGCAGCACATTTCCATTAGAACTGCTTTTATGAGGCGTTCTTCCATTAAGAGTGACTGAACCCCACTGCCTCTGTGAGACAAGAACTATTTGAACTAAAAGAGTTGCTTTACATAAAAAGACTGAAATTAGACTGTAAATGGACAACACATTTTTATTGGCCGATTATGTGGACATTAGTGCAGATGAAGGCATTATTACCTTGTGTGAGTTGCTGTCCTGCAGTCGAGACAGTGGAGACTGCATGTCAAGACATGAATCTGACGGCTGCTTCTTTTTGGGGATTCTGAACGGGACTGCCATCTACAGCAAATACAATAACTGTTAGAATATTCAAATTATAACGTATTTGTTAATCATTTCACTTTTGCACCATGATAAATCAGCTTAATACACTGCAGCAAACAGTGTGCATTTTTGGGAATTTGTGTAAACATTTTATACAAACTTGTTATAAGAGCAAGTAAAGAACAGTTAAGGAATAACTGGAAGGATTTAAGGAAAAACCAAACATGAATACATCAGAATGTTCTCAAAATGTAAATGTCTAGGAAGCACACAATGAACTGTATTTACAACATTTCTTTCGAATTCATTTTACCTAAATAAATAAATGAACAGAATATCCCACTAAAATTCGGAAATAATAACTTTTACTGTTACCTGCAAAACATACACGTATTCGAGATGCAAAATAAATATATGAAGAGTCTTGTTTTCTGAGGAACTGATCAAAATAAAGTGAGTTTATGCTTAAAACAACAACAAATGTCAAAAATTAAATTAAAAAATAAATTATATATATATATATATATATATATATATTAAAATGTAGTGTAATATTGTCATAATCTTTCGTAACATTATAAATGTCTTTGTCACTTTTATTGCTAAATAAAAGTATTAATAAAAAAAAACATCTGACAGAACCTAAACTTTTGAACAGTGGTGTATAGTTATAATAAATATTTATTTGCTTTATCTGCTATCTTGGATTTTTGGGATGATTTATACCGCTTTACATAGGCAGCAACTACAAGTGATATAAATAGTGCCTGAAAAAAAGATTTCAGTAGTTTCTGCCTTGAATGAAGAATGTTGGAAGACAATGAAGTCGCCAAGAACTTGGTGTATGACGCCTGCGCAGGCAGCTCTTTAGGTTTCGGAACAGAGCCATAGACTTCAAATGTTGCATCCGTTGTACACACAAAAAACCAACCATTCTAAACCGAATCGTTTCTAAATGTATCATCTGAGTGGGCAGAACTGCTCTGGGCACAGTGTTAATTTCTTCAAGCTTTTTAAGCGTAACGAAAGCTCTGAGATTGATTTGTTAAGGTCACAGATGTAATCACATGAAACCATTGGTAATTAAATTTGGTGAAGTCTGATTTAAATCACATGGTCTGTGTTCTGTAGGTAGGGACAGCACGCTACATGGCCCCTGAAGTTCTGGAGTCCAGGGTAAATCTAGAGGACTTAGAGTCCTTTAAACAGATTGATATCTACTCCATGGCCCTGGTGCTGTGGGAAATGGTCTCTAGGTGTGACGTCATAGGAGGCAAGTAAAGCTCTCGATGGATATTTGCTTAAAAGGCACTTACTGTAAAAGCATACTGTAATATTTCAAGTATATCTGTTTTCTTTTTTTAACAGAGGTAAAGAGTTATGAACCCCCATTTAGCTCAAAGGTGTGTGAACAACCTTGTATAGACAGCATGAGAGATCTGGTGTTAAGAGACAGAGGACGACCAGATATTCCAGCGAGCTGGACAGCACATCCAGTGGGTACAATTACAGTCATAAACCACAAAAACATAGGGGTATATATATATATATATATATATATATTATATATATAAATTTAAGATTTCAATATATATGTATATCATAAAAACAAAACTTAAATAATATTAAATATATTAAATGTTCAAAATATCGATTTTCTCAGTAGATTTGATGTATACCAGTGTTTTTTTATTTTTTTGTCCTATGAAAGTTCAGTTATATATATATATTTTTCCAAACATGAGCACGCACACCCACATATATATATATATATATATATATTCACACTGGCATGCTGAAATGATATTCCCAAGCTTCTTAGAAGGTGTTACTGACATTTCTGCTCATAACTTCCCATTTTTTCCTGGTCTTTTAGGGCATGCAGCTCGTGTGTGCGACTATAACAGAGTGCTGGGATCACGACCCAGAGGCTCGTCTGACAGCACACTGCGTGGTGGAACGCTTCAATACTCTGGCACAGGAAGAGCTGGAGAACTCCATCTGCACCCACACACCCATATTGCCATCTACAGAGGACCAAAGCCCATCCCTTCCCTCCCTTCCTCCCTGCACGGACCACAGCACTGGCATCCATCCGCATTTTACATCTGACACGCAGATCTCTGTTTCCTCCAGGCAACCGAGTCAAATGTGACCTGCCTGGAAAAATCAGAGGACTTCTTGTAATCCATATTGATTCATTATGTGGAGCTGGTCTCCGTTTTTCTTTAAACGCTAATCTAAACCAACGGACAAAAGAGGGTTTCTGTTCTAACATATCCTCGTTTACTTGTATAATGTTGTAAAGGATGTTGTCAAGGATGAAAAGGCTGCTTTGTGCCATAAAGAAAAAAAAGAAAGAAAAAAAACAAAAAGCTAATGCAGGTGGAGAGAAGTTAAGGGTACGTGGCAGAAAGCTGCAGAGAGCACCATTATTACTAAAATGTTTTCCCAAAAATGTTTACCACACAATTTTCTGATTTACAATTTTCCATTGCCCTTTCTGACTCACTCACTCATGAAATCCACGTGATCTTCCCATAAACTCATTTTGGGGGGACTTCAATTTGATTAACCACAGAACTGCAGACTATACACCAGCAATACAACTGCTGTTTTTAGACATAAAAAAGACCAGTTTCATTTCATTACTCACACACAGGGTTGTAATTCCTTTTAACTAATTTTATAATAACTTCAAAATGTGATTTGTGCCTGGCATTCCTTTTGCTCCGGATGAGTTGCTTTGCACTGACCCTTTTTTAACCACTGACCGGATTACTTTAATTAAATGACAACTACATGAAGGCTTTTTATCTGGGATTATCAATGTCCTGCTTCAGAAGTTCCTGTTCTATCTAGACTTATTGATTATAATCAATTAGCTTATCCTAATTAAAAGGAAAAAAAAAGCAACTTTTAAAAGATTCCTTAGACTCACTTCTGACGGTAAACAGGATTCAATAAGCTAAAGATCTGTTACGTCAGTGAGCTTGGGTCTCAGACAAATAGAAAAGCATGACACTGACTTGTCTAATTTCTAAAGAGCCTGCATTTATGCTCCATTTTTTAAGCAATCTGAGGTTCACCCGAATTCTACAGAGCTACTTTGAGGGACAGGGAAAATTCATACCAGATTGCACACTGGAAAAAGAACTGATGGAGATAAATACTTTCTGTGCAAATGTCAACATGAACATATGGCAACCTGTTATGCTTTTTCCATTACTGGAGATGAAGCAAACAAAAGTGTAATTTTGCTCATTCCTAGTGTGAACTGGCTTCACAGCTATACAGGTATCACTATATAAAATATATATGCATAATGTGTCCACTGACTTTTTTTTACACAAAGTAGTGTACATTTTACACTACTGCTCAAAAGTTTAGGGTCAGTAAGACTTTTAAATATTTTAAAGAGGGCTCTTACGCTCACCTGCATTTATTTGATCAAAAATACAGTAATATTGTGAAATATGACTACAATTCAAAATAATTGTTTTCTGTTTTAGTATATTTTAAAATATAATTTATTCCAGTGATGGCAAAGTTGGATTTTCAGCATCAATACTCAAAATCTTCAGTGTCACATGATCCTTCAGAACAGTTTCCTTGCTGAATATAAGTATAAAAGTAATTTCTTATTAAAAACCCTTACTGACCCCAAACGTTTGAACATAAAAAAAAAATGTAGTTAAGGTGCAGTATGTTTTTCAGCATTTCTAATCACTGTTTTGTATTGAAACCTTTTTCTGCCTCAGAAAAAAATATATAAAACTGGTAATTGTGAGAAAGTTTAAAATTTGAAGTAAAGTCATGCCGAGTCAAACTTTGAGATATGAAGATGCAATCATAAGAAATAAAGTTGCATTGTAAAGTATAAAACCACAACTGTGATAAAGTGAAATTGTGAAATATATAGTCACAAGATAAATAATGCAAATGGGAGATATAAAGACACCTTTATGTGAAATACAATTGCAAAAAATAAAGTCACGGTTACCTTTAAGGCAGATTACACGATTAAGGCAGAAAAGGGCTTCTTTAGTTTTGCCTTTCCTAGATTATTTTAAATGGTCCTTCAATGTGACATCAATGTTCATGACATACAAAACATTCCATGTCTTAATATTAGATCATAAAGCTACATGCACAATGCAAAATTTTTTTGCAAAATGCCATTTAGCATGTCACACTGCAGAACATTTCAACTAGCCATGGAACTTCCTTCATACAGTATGCCAGTTACTGTGAAATATTTGCATCTCTTCTTGATACCACACAGACAGAGTCATCAAGTCAAATGAAAAAGTTCACTAATAGCTGACATCCTCCAATATATTAACAATTTTATTTTTTCAATCATACTTTCTGAGGCTACAGGGAGTGTATTTAAAACATCAGTGCAGTTGATGGCTCAGCAGAATGACTTGAGTGGAGAGCACAGCTGATGTACCAAACGCTTCGTGGGAATTCTGTATTTTGCTGACAGGAAAATGTAAGAAGATATGTACAAAGGCTGTGGCTTCAGTCTTACTCGGTTTTGATGAGGAAGCTGACCGTAGTGAGGAGGAACAGGAGGAAGACTAACACAAATAAGGCACCACAAGTTTCTCAGCGCAACCAATGCCAGGGCTGAAGCAGAGATTATATGAGATGCAACACTTCAGCCAGCACCACTCCAACTGTTCCCCGCTGACATTTAAACACAAAATCTTAAAGAACTTTGAAACCTCAAATTTGACCAACAAAAAAAAAAACTCTTACTAACATGACCAGCTAACTAAAACCTGAACCTTTAGCAAGGAACAGGTGCTGTTAACACATCTGATTGCACTTAAAGGAACAGTTTGCCCAAAAATGAAAATTCTGCCATCTTTTACTCACCCTCATGTCATTCCAAAACCCTTATTATTTTCCGTGAAATACAAAAGGAGATGTCAGGCAGAATGTCCAAGCTGCTCTTTTCCATGCAAGCTAAGTGAATTGTGACTTATACCTCAGAACTCCATAAAACACCATAAAAGTGTTTATATATCTATAAAACTTGTATACAACAGTCTTCTGAAAAACCAGCCTAACCTAGTTCGGTGGTCTTCCAGTCAGACAAACTAAGATCACTAAACCAACTGGTTTTAGGTGGGGGGGGGTTTTCAGCAGGTCTGAAAAAAAGACTGAAATCTAAGCTGATTTTGATCTAGGCATCTAAATGTGCCACTACTGAACTCAAAGCCAAATATCAGTTATTAGCTTAAATTTCAGTCTGTTATTCAGACTGAAATTTCAAAACATTGCATGACTTTAGAAGACTTGTAATGTAGCTCACAAGTTATATGGACTACATAGAACAACATGAGGGTGAGTCAACTAAAATTGTCATTTTTGGGTAATTTACCCCTGTAAAAATCAACGTTATCAATGCCAATCGAGGTAGAATCAAAGTGGAACGTAGCAGTCCGAAGTCATGAAATTAAACTGCATAACTTTGACCGATCAGAACTTTTGACAGATCTTACTGTATCTCCAATAATACTGTCTAATCGGGTTGCATTTACACATATTACTGTGCACATAGAGAAGATTATAAAGCTAGCTCTTTTCTAGGTTTAAACTGTTAAAGTGCTCAACATAAGCATTAAAAGGATAGTTCACCCAAAAATGAAAATTCAGTTACATTTATTCACCCTTATGTCATTATAAACCTGTATATCCTACTGTGTGGACCCCATTGACTTTCATTGTAAGAACAAAAAAACATATATTTAAAAAATATCTTTGTGTTCCACAGAAGAAAGTAATTCCTATAGATTTTAAATGGCATGAGGGTGAGGACAGAATTTTGGGGGGGTTGAATATCCCTTTAAAATCTCTCTGCAACTAAAGCCAATGTAATTGTTCACTGAACATCAAGCAGAAACAGAAGAGCAGGCCTCAACCCAAACACTTCCATCTGGCCCAGATTTTGTGTATAGCGCCTGCCAGCTTCATTTACCAGTGCGAGAACGAGAAAAAGACAGCATAATACGAAAGCCAAGCCAACGCTTTCTCTCTCATCAGGACTCCAGCTGCGTCTTGCTAAGCAATAACAACTTGCATCTCACCAGTTATCAACGCAGCTAGCTGTCTGTCCTTTTGAACCCCACCTTCTTGAATGAGCTCCCCTAATCCTGCATTTCATTTGATACCATATAAATCATGATAAGTCAGTACGATTTTAAAAGAATCAGAAAACTTTGACCGTACCGTGGTCAACACCACAGTATGGTTAGATTAAGAAGTTCACCTCAAACACAATCCCACGTTAAGAACTGTCACACTGTACTCAGCCCTCGTTACATACGACACTCGTTAAGGCAACATCAACAAACAATATCTGTGTGCAGATTGAATAAATCATTCACTGTGTAGTTCTACAAAAATCTTACCACCGAGGGATGCAAAATATGAACATCAGAGTGCAAACCCGCAAGTCCACAAAGCGTGTTACAAACACTCAAACTGAAGATATGTTTCAGGAATCATACAAAGGAGAGTGTATGTCTTCATCAGTGAGAGAGGGAACACCGGAGCAGAGGTTTACTGCAGCGGGATGCTGTACAATGCCTGGACTCAGGTCTTAAAAGGTCAGAGGTTATGGGTTTTCTGGAGGGGAGACTGGGAAAGAGCTATGGGCCGCCGTTTTCCACAGTGGTTGGTAATACACCCAGCCTTCACCCTAGAAAAAGACAAAAAAAATTAGAGAACTTAAAAAATATAATACCAAAGATTATCCAATTAAGTGGGCCAAACCAGAAGTTAGCATTACCATAATCCCCTCGATAAAAAGGCAATAGGATTTTTACATATGCTTTTGAATTACTGCAGAAGATAAGTGAGAAGATCTGTGACCAACAAGAGTTTTGATTCTCATACGTTGTGTTTGGCAAGATGGTCTCTACAAATACTACTGTTTTGAAGCCTAAATATAATTGGCAGAAGTAAAAAGCTAAAGGTAGGCTTTAAACAAACTACACCACGGTCAGATGACTTCAACTTCACCATGACTAAGCTTCTGACAACTCTTTCAATCTTTATTTAAAATCTACAAGTTGGAAAAGTTGAGTTAGAATAGTTTGCAAGAGCGTGATAAACACAAAGCAGACTACAGAGAGTAGATGAGTTCTCCTGATCAGAGTGGTGACATTTAATGATCCTGACAACCTCTGTAGTCACTTTTAAGCAAACTGCCTGTTTCAAGACACATAATAACTTTTTAAAAAATCACTGATGTGTTTTATGTTGTAGAATAAAGTGTGAAAATATTTCAAGCTTCCATTAACCACAGACCTTATTTCAGGCATTTAACCAAAAATCCATTCAAAAAACCCACTGACTACAGGACAATGGAAACGAAAGTGCTTGTTTCTGAGTTTTAAGACTCCTTCCTGCAGCTCTCCACTCAAGCTTCACCTTAACACTCAGCATTTGAAGTTAATGTCACCTGTTACCCATTTCCAAGTGAAACAGTGCATTCACTGAGACAAAATGAACCATGGAACTTCATTTTAATAGTGCAAAATGGGGGTGTGGGAGTGGGAGGTGTTGAAAAGTACAAGAATCTGTCACATTTCAAGGACAAAAATTAATTTTATTTATAAAAACATTAGCTGGAAAAAAACTACAAAAAGAAGAAAAAAAGCAATCCTTAACCAGAGGTTATCTACAATAACAGTACATCCACAGTATCTTCTACTATATATACAGTGGGTACAGAAAGTATTCAGACCCCCTTAAATTTTTCACTCTTTGTTATATTGCAGCCATTTGCTAAAATCATTTAAGTTAATTTTTTTTCCTCATTAATGTACACACAGCACCCCAGTGCTTCTACTAAATACTGAGCAAAGGGTCTGAATAGTTAGGACCATGTGATATTTCAGTTTTTCTTTTTTTAATAAATCTGCAAAAATGTCAACAATTCTGTGTTTTTCTGTCAATATGGGGTGCTGTGTGTACATTAATGAGGAAAAAAAATTAACTTAAATGATTTTAGCAAATGGCTGCAATATAACAAAGAGTGAAAAATTTAAGGGGGTCTGAATACTTTCCGTACCCACTGTATATATATATATATACACATAAATATAAATTAGTATATGATAAAAAAAAATAAGATGCAGATGTGTTCTTACTTTGCGCTCAAAGTATTTGGTCCTCCATGCTGTCTGTGTCTCTGCGCGATGCCTCTCCTCTTTCCTCTGCCTTTCCTCCAGGAAACGCTTCTGTTCCGTGGCTTTATCCATATCCCTTTCCTTCAGAGACTCCGTCACACGCTGCCACAGTCGCCTGCAGGGAGAGGAGTCACATGTTAAAGATGGAGCCTTCGCACCGCTTTCAGTAAATGCCTCTGAATCCACAGATAAGAAGACAGCTATGGTTTTCACTTATAGGAATAGTTCATCAAAAAAATAAAAAAATTATTACATTTCCTCACCCTCATTTTGTTCCAAACCCATATAATTTTCTTTCTCAGTCCTTCACAATTTAATGTTTGAAACTATTCGTTTAAATGAGTTATTTTCTGAATTAATTGTGTAGTTTAATTAATTGTGTGTACAATCGTGTGGTTTGAATACGATAAAAAAACGTAAAATTATTTTTTTTGCATAAACTGATTGGCTGGTGTTACCTAGATTCATAGGGTCCTTGCAGCTCATTGGGCCGTACTCTTTTACTGGTGACTGGGAGTTTGTTAACGTCTAGGACACGTGTCTCCCCGCTGGTGTAGGTAAACTCCAGCACGCCGTTCCACTCACCCTGTACTCGGCACACCACGGAGTTGGTGGGGTTGTGTTTGACCTCCGCATTCACTCTGTGGAACAAAGCACAGGTTTTTGTTACAGTCCACTGGCTCAGCTTTCTGATTAAAGTGCTCATATCATGATCTTTAAAAGTCGACATAAAAATGAAAATTCACCCCATTTATTTTCTAAATGCATGTTGCTGATTCTAAGTCCCCGCCCTACTTTTTTTTTTGATAATCTGTTTTGGATGTACAAGTGATACTGTCACTTGTAGAACTCCTCAATCCAAAAAGACCATTTACTGATACTAAGGCTGTCCAAATACTTTTTCAGCCAGTTGCACTTGTCACCTTCATTTGTATAGAATCCCTGATCATTTCAGTCTGATCTTTGCTGGATTGTTTTGTGAACCTGTCACAATGTAATGGAGCAGTGCAAACTAGGACCCCACAGCAAACCCACACTGAAGGCACAGCACCAAAAAAATAGCCAGTTTAATTCTAGGGGTCAAAAAGAAGTTGGGAAATTATTACAGATAAATACAGTTTGGCTTACATTTTTCTTATTGAATATAGTGTTTGTTCACTTTTCTGAACTACATATAATCTGGACATTCAAGTCTGGGGTCAGTAAGATTTTTTGTGTATATGTAAGATGTCTCTTATGCTCACCTAGGCTGCATTTATTTGTTCAAAAATACAGTAAAAAAAACATAATATTGTGAAATATTGGGACAATTTAAAATGTTTCTTATGTGAATATATTTTAACAATTAATTTAATCTTGTGCTGGCAAAGCTGAATTTTTAGCAGCCATTACTCCAGTCTTCAGTGTCACATGATCCTTCAGAAATCATTCTAATGAGCTGATTTGGTGCTTAAGAAACATTTCTTATTATTATCAGTGTTGAAAAAAGTTGTGCAGCTTAACAGTTTTGTGGAAACCAAGATAAAATTTTTTGTTCAAGTTCAAAAGAACAGCATTTATTTGAAATGAAAATCTTTTGTAACATTATAACTGTGTTTGCAGTCACTTTTGATCAATTTAATGCATTCTTATAACGGTAGTGTATACTAATTAACAGTTCTTTAGGGCTGCTGTATAAATTTACATTGAAAACACTATACTGAAAATGGAGTCAAGTAATGTGATCCTGACCTGTGCAGCTTGCCCCCATAGAAAGGCTTTGTCTGGAAGGTGATGATTGCAGAGTAGCCTGTCGTGGTGCAGTTGACATTGACCTTTCCTCCCAGTTCCACCCAGGGCACAGTGAGGATAGAGCGGGCATAAGCAGAGGGCAGACTGAAGGTGTATTCTTCACCGTGCTCCAATAGGTGTAGATAACCTGCGAGCACATGAATTAACATTTCTAACGATCAACAGTGGAAATGTTAATGCAAAAGTGGGTGCGAGGCAGGCAAAACTCACCTTCTCCGATCATAGAGACGCCAATGGACATGCCCATGAACTTGCTCTTGGTCCACACATGCGTGTTGACACACATCTGTCTCTCCTGGCATTCTGCATAGAAGCCCGACACAGGTGGATGATGGGAAACCTGCTCAGCCACGAAGCGGACATTGTAGCAGTCTGACGCGCATGAGGTCCCTTCTTTCGAAACCGCTGTTGGAGGTGTCGTCGCCTTGGGTACTTTCCAAGAGCAGTGGAAGGTCTCTCCGATGATGGGGTTGTAGGGCTTCCTGGCAATGGCACCTTTGCGACCTTCGTGGAAGGAAGTGAGGTAATACTCCACAAATCGGACCATGCGGTCCATTGGGCTGGAGCCATCAGTGATGGCGACAAAAAGGTCCGGATGGGACATGAAGTCTGCATACATTTCCAACAGGGAGCGCTTCTCCAGAATGAAAGTAGGCAGGACCACCTACACGCCCATGTGAAACACTATATTAATTCATAATTAATCAATTGTACACTGAAAAATAAAATGTTGATGAAAGCATTAAAAACCATAAAACAAAGATTTCAGTATTTCTACTTCAAAATTTCATGTTCAATGTGCTACTTGACATTTCTTTTTTAATTATTTGTGAAATTTATCAGCAATTTCGGAGTAAACATTTTTAAAGCCAATTTTTTTTTGGTGTATAACAGAATTAATTCAAAATGGTATAACTGGATGAAATGAGAGCCATTAATGAGATGGAGCTGATATACCCTGGTGAGGTCCATGCCCAGTTTGAGCTGAGAGAGGAGGTGCAGAATGATGCTGCGCTCCTCTTCGACAGCACCCAGTTCCTCCTCCTCGGCCGGAGCTGAATCATCTACCTCTTGTGTGGCATCAATCTCCTCCTGCTCCTGAAACCCACACCAAACTCCATGATTGCATCCTACTCAACCAGTAAAATCCTATAACCACAAGGACAAAACCAGCTTTTTTTTGGAGCCCCCAAAATCTCTACGGGGTTTCCACATCTTTTGACCAATGACCATTCCTGACCTTTTAATAACTTTATTACATTAGTGTTTTTTTATTTTTTTTTTACATTTTATAGAGGCAGAGGCTTAATTATACAGTGGGGGAAAAAGCCAAAAAAGAAATAAAAAAACAGTGTTGTTATTGTTAACTATATAACTATTAAAAATAATTTCCAATTAAAATAAAGCCCAAATAAAATAAAATATAAATAATAAATGATAAACTAATAAAGAAAGTTTGCCTTGGCTACTAACTGAAATAAAAATAAATGAAAGTGGTGCAGAAATATTTTTAAAAATGACCAAAACGCATAACATAAATTACTAAAATGTTAAATAAAATTAAAATTACAACAGAAAATAGAATAGAATAAAAGCTAATGGCTGATTAAACATTTTATAATATTATAAAATAATATTTTCTATAGAAAATGTACATAATTTAAGATTGTAATGACTTCCATAACTTTCCAGGCCTGAAAATCATCATTTTAAAATTCCAAGGTATTATTACTAGGTGTTCCATGAACCATTTCTCGATGATATTCTATATCATAGCTTGCCTCAACAAACACCACTAATGACACCTGCCAAAAACAGCTTTACATAATGTAGAATATTTATAGATTTTTCTGTATATGATTGTTTTTGCAATGTAAATCTATCTGTTATGCTGCCTGAAATGATGGATGATACAGTTATGTGAAGCAAAATATTATGCAAGAATATTCAGGGGGAAAAAAAACATACAGCATAGTAAACATTTAACACCACAGACAAGTTTACTTAGGTTAATAGGGAGCCCTGTCTACAGTCCAACATTCAGGAAGGCTCAGGTGTTTGTTTACGTGAAGGTAACTGAAGCAAAGGATTACTCTTGAGATTCACACCAGCATCTGCTAGGAATACAATCATCAATGGTTGTGTTGCCGTGTCAAAATACAGAGGCAAAACATATATGGATACTTTAGACATTCAAAATGCATGAATGCCATTAATTTTATAACAAAATATCAAACCACATTTTTTTTTATTTTTTTTTTTTTATTGTAAACAAAGATAGCACACTTCAAGCCAAATAATTAAAAAAGAAGGTATTAAAATAGATCTTCTGTTGAAGACAAAGCACATGTTCCTTCAGAAATCATTCTAATTTGTGGATTTGCAGCTAAAGAAACAATTCTTCTTATCCTCAATGTTGAAAAAAGTGTTGTTGCTTTTCAGGCTTGTTTGATTAATTGAAATTTCAAATGAACAGCATTTTAAATCGTACTGTAACAGAACATACTGTTACAGCACTGACTCAACCAATGGTGTGAGACCAGGGCGGCAATTTTTTGTGGCCTGACCAATGGCAGACAAGCTTTAAGGCAGTGAACTACACCTGTAATTATGCTACTAGGACACTTGTTTGAACTTGAGGAGAACTGACTTGGAACCAGCTGTTTAGATCACTATAACCTATATTATACTATACTATAACCACAAAAAACACTAGCGCCGTTAGTTCTGAGAAAAGCATCATTTGTTTGCAGATGCCACATGATTTGATATTGTATCTAATGCAACGACATTCACACATACTTAAGTGCATTCAAATACTTTTTTTGAGACATTTAGGCATGGTTTCACAGACAGGGCTTAGGTTAAGCCAGGATTAGGCCACAGTTCAATTAGGACATTTAAGTATTTTTTATAAATGTGCCTTAGGAAAAATATTACTGGTGTGCATCTTGAGACCAAACAGTTGCACTGACATATTTTAAGGTATGTCAGTGTAAGTTTTTTTCAGTTAAAACAGCCCAGACATGCATTTTAGTCTGCAATTAGGCTTAAGCTTTGTCTGTGAAACCGGGGATAAATTATTATAAATATAATTAAAAATATGTCTAATCTAAGACAAGCTCAGATCCTCAGAAATTTTCCACACCATTTGTCAGTGACCAAGACTCACACTTTTTGACCATTGACTTTTCAAGTCATGTGTAATCATTCAATAAGGACTTTTAAAGATTATTCAAACTCAGATTTGTTTGCTCAGCATGGGTTCTTTGCAAATCATTTAGACCCATTTGTAAAATGATTGACTGAGAACACAGTTTGCAAGAATGATAAAAAAAAAGTTTAGACACAAATCTTACCCTAGCAATATCACAGGAGTCCATTTCTAAAGGTTCCAGAACGGTTCCCTCTGTTTTACCATCATCTCTGGTAATGCTGGGTAGCGTCCCTCCATTCTTCAGGATGTCAGGAAGTTTTGGTTCCAGCCACTCGAGGGCAGGGCCTACAGGGCACACAAAACCTGGCTCAGAGGTGCTCATATCACCGGCCCACCAGCACGATGCCCACAACCCAACAGCAGCTTCTAATGCCACAGGAATTCTGGGTGTTTAGCGCTCTGAAACTGACACAGAGCTCTCAGTGGAAACCTGAGCCCAGGGTCTCACAGTCTGCACGGAGCCCTGCCCATTGTTGGCTTGTTTGCTTATTGGCTCGGAGACTAATCTGGAGGTTTTTGTTTTGTTCCAGTCGTTAGGAAGTTCACAAGCTGGATCACTACTTTTTACAGTAGAAATGCAGGTGATCCTGGAACTGTGGGATGTTTACATGTTGGTTCTTTCCAGTCAGAGAGTAATAAAATATGTATGCTTCATGAATGGGTTGCATTAAAGTCGCTTGACAACTAGAAGGCTTCAGTTTTGCAAAACACCAAGAGTCCCCAAACATGCAAATCTGACAGGAGGCATTTTCATCCAAGAACTGACAATGGTATGGTAACACAATTTGGTAAGTCTGTCAACCGCCGCACTTGAGTGACGCCAACAGAGCTCTGGTTACCTGCAGAAGTCTATCAGTGGTGGATACAGTTCCTCATTAATTATAAAACAATATTCCACTCCCTGAGCAGGGCTCTAGCTCAGAAATTCTACAGGCACAAACATGACCTGAGATTATAAGATTTGTGACCACAAACTCTTGTGGTTTTTCTATAATTAACTACCATTTTTCTGTTCAGCTATTGGTTATCTTGGTACACCCAGACACTGTGATGTGAGCAGAAAGACTTGTGACGTTGTGTATTTTGATCGTATTGCATTGACCTGGATTACACATAAGGATCAGTGAGTCGCAGTGAATATGTGATTTAAGGTATTCAATAACTGTCTGATAGCAGATTTGCTGAAAGAGAGTATGGGGGTCTGTAACTCTAAAAGAGTCTACATTTTAAATTTTTGGATTGCATTTCAGCAACTAATAGAGGAGTGTTACACAAATTCTACACTATGATGGTATTCAACAAAAAGGGGAGGCCGTACTTGCTCCTTTATTTTTTTTTACTTAAATCATGACATTGCTTTTGTACTTCCAGACATTTTGATGCTAAAAAGATGAATACATTTAAATACATGACTAGTAAGTAATAGACTGTTATATCAACAAGGACAGTGTTTCCTAAAAGCACCGTAAGCCTATGGCACCAATGGGCTCTATGATCTTGACGTTTTTGAGGAAAGTAGTCATAAACAATTAATCAGTGAATATTTATGTGATAACTGTGCCCGACTGGCCGATAAAACTGGGTAAAATCAACAGTACTGCAAAGTGAAACTGCACATTTTCTGTAGTTTAATTTGTTAGTAATAAATTATACAATATCAGCATTCTAACAGCCACCCTGCTCTCCAGACAGCGATATATCACACCAATGTTTATGTTTACACATCAACAATGCTTATTTGGTATTCAGAAACTTGGCAGAATCCAGTCATTGAAAGGCAAATAAAGAGGTCAGACAGATACAGCAATATTATTCCTAAATGCCAAAAAACTAACAATAAGAGTAAATATGGGAAAGTGTGCTAAACCTTGTGCTGTTTCTGACTGTGTGCAGCACCAGCAGCTCTGCATATCCTTCCAAAATACCTAATATTAAACACAAGTGCCTGCAGTCGCTTCACAATGTAATTTAGGCTTTACAAAGTGTTTGTTATTGAAGGATGGGAGAGTTGCACTACAATGGAAAAGTCCTGCAGCTTGTGAGTAATGCCTCCCATTTCTCTAATGTAACTGCATCGTCAGTGAACTAAAGCACTGCATCTCTTTTCAAATGTGAAGATGATATTTACATAAAGTCTTAAAGGCACAGCAAAAAAAGAGCCCATTTAATCCTAAAGGAGAGGGTGGAAAATGGTCATGTAAAGCTAAATTATGACTGTTAAAAACACTTGCTAATCTAATATAAGCAGTGAATATGTGATTTAAGGTATTCAATAACTGTCTGATAGCAGATTTGCTGAAAGAGAGTTTGGGGGTCTGTAACTCTAAAAGAGTCTACATTTTAAAAAAGGGAGGCCGTACTTGCTCCTTTATTTTTTTTTACTTAAATCATGACATTGCTTTTGTACTTCCAGACATTTTGATGCTAAAAAGATGAATACATTTAAATACATGACTAGTAAGTAATAGACTGTTATATCAACAAGGACAGTGTTTCCTAAAAGCACCGTAAGCCTATGGCACCAATGGGCTCTATGATCTTGACGTTTTTGAGGAAAGTAGTCATAAACAATTAATCAGTGAATATTTATGTGATAACTGTGCCCGACTGGCCGATAAAACTGGGTAAAATCAACAGTACTGCAAAGTGAAACTGCACATTTTCTGTAGTTTAATTTGTTAGTAATAAATTATACAATATCAGCATTCTAACAGCCACCCTGCTCTCCAGACAGCGATATATCACACCAATGTTTATGTTTACACATCAACAATGCTTATTTGGTATTCAGAAACTTGGCAGAATCCAGTCATTGAAAGGCAAATAAAGAGGTCAGACAGATACAGCAATATTATTCCTAAATGCCAAAAAACTAACAATAAGAGTAAATATGGGAAAGTGTGCTAAACCTTGTGCTGTTTCTGACTGTGTGCAGCACCAGCAGCTCTGCATATCCTTCCAAAATACCTAATATTAAACACAAGTGCCTGCAGTCGCTTCACAATGTAATTTAGGCTTTACAAAGTGTTTGTTATTGAAGGATGGGAGAGTTGCACTACAATGGAAAAGTCCTGCAGCTTGTGAGTAATGCCTCCCATTTCTCTAATGTAACTGCATCGTCAGTGAACTAAAGCACTGCATCTCTTTTCAAATGTGAAGATGATATTTACATAAAGTCTTAAAGGCACAGCAAAAAAAGAGCCCATTTAATCCTAAAGGAGAGGGTGGAAAATGGTCATGTAAAGCTAAATTATGACTGTTAAAAACACTTGCTAATCTAATATAAGCAGACCTTAATGTATGCTTCAAAAAAAAAAAAAGCTGCCAATTTTGTGCTAAAATCTTGACCAAGAATAGCAGAGAGGATTGGAATACAAGAAAAGTCTCTTGCTGTATGTCACATAGGAGCAGCACCGATCAATAATTTCTGTGATGGAAGCTGTGCTTATAAATAACCCTCTTGCTGTCTTTTACTGGAAGAGAAATGCTTTCACTTAACATCTAGTACTGCAGTAGCATTAGAAAAAGTATAAAGCAAAGTCAGGTCTAATATTAGAAGAGCCAGACAGAGCAAAAACTGCCAGATGTCTAGCATTATGAACCTCATTTCACATTTTTATCATTTTTTCAAAATATTTGTTATCATTTTTCCCTGATGTCCATTCAGTCACAGTTTAGTTTTTCCATTATCCAATTTCCCTTGGGCATGTACACAAGTAATGCATTTGTGACGTGGAAATGAAGAGATATAAACACATCTACTGCTACAGTCAACAAAATGAAGAAAACCATAAGGATCAACACACAGATATAAAAACACTCACCAGCAAGAGGAGCTTTCTGCCGAGCCACTTGTTGGAGCTGCAGGATATGCAGGCAGTCGCTGAGGCAGGTCATGGTAGCCAAAGAGGTGGCTTTCAGCAGCAGCAAGTCTTGGTCCAAGGGAGAGGGTCCCTGGGAGGAGGGCAGACCCTCAATACTCTGGATCAGGTATCTGTGCTGGCCCTGCGCCTGGCTCATCATCTAGAGGAGTATTTGTTGGTTAATGAACGTCCTACACCTCAAAACTTCAGATCAGATGCTTGTGAAGTTCCAAAGAGACTGTGCAATTGGGCCTTTAAAAGCATCACTCAGTCTCACCTCTCTGGCCTCCAGCAAGTGATCAGGCAGCAGCGACTTTCTGCTGGAGTAAAGAGATGAGCTGCGCTGCAGCTGGGACAGGCCCAACAGGGCGTTTGAGTTCTGGTTGACCCTGTGTTGAGATCCTGGAGAGCTGCCACTGCCCTGAGACGCCATGGAGAGACTGCGAGTCTGAAGTGGTGGGTTTGTCTGTGGGATTACGGATAATTGTTGAAAGAATTAGATCACCCAGAAATGACAATTTCATCATCATTTACCGCATTTTGATCCAAATCTGTATTTCCAAGGAACACTAAAGGAGAGATTTTAATGCTAGAAAGCTGGTGATGATTTTGACATTGAAGCTCCAAGAAGGTCAAATAAAAGTAGTCATTATAATTTATGCGCTATAATCAAAGTCTTCTGAGATTTTGTGTGAGAAGCTGACCCGAAATATAACTCATTACTGACTGATTATCGTTCCCTGAGCTGCATCTCATTCAGTCACATAAAGTCAAATATGCTGTGCAAAGTCACATCATACCAGTTTGCTTGTTTAATTTTTAACACCATTTCAGTTTCTTTGGCTATCAACATAGCAAAAACTATACTTGCTAGCAAAATACCAGACTTGATGTCAATGATGCCAAATGGCATTGGTTCTCGAAAGAACGTTGGTTAAATTGATCAGTTTTGAATGATATGATGGTGAATAAATGATGACAAAATTTTAAACTCTGAATTATCTATTTGTAATTTAATAGATTGCCTGTCTCTTCCTGTAACTTAATAAGTCACTGAGCAGTACGGTTTAGTTAATAGTATTACAGGAGTCTGGATGTAAGTCTCACTTTGCCCAGCGCCTCCGTGTGGTGCTGCGCACAGATCTGCAGTCGGCTGACCCAGTGCTGTCGCTCCTTTGCATCTGAGGCTGAAGTTACGCAAACAGGTAATGAAAAATATTTAAATATAAATGATAATATTGGGATAATAATAATATTATTTCAGATTTTTTTTATATGGGATATGCGATATGGTTAAGAGGGCAGAATATAAATAAAAGGAAGTGAAACCATCTAAGACTGAAAAAAGTAGCAAAAAAGAAAGAGTGAAAGAGATCATGTGACAACCTCTAAGTTTGTATTGCTCTCCGCTGATGGCATTGACAGTGAACGTGTGTGAATCTTCATCGCTGGGGGAAATCACCGCACCAGCTAATGGCAGCGAGCCCCTGGGCTTCTGATTCCTGGACTGCTCATTCACAAAATATTCCAGCAGTCCTGCCTCATTGTTGAGCACAAAATATCTATAATGCAGAAAACATAACAGTTTAGGAGTTTATGAAATATTTTAGGTCTAAAGTATCTATTATTTGATATGAACAGGACCAAATGGAATCTGTGCTGATGACGGGGAAAATCTTTAAAATTCTGCAAGAAAAATGCAATACTCACCGATACTGCCATCCAGTCACAAGATTGGTGTACTTCATCAAATACCCATCCACCTTTTCCATCAGATCACTTCAGTTGATAAAAAGAAAAACATCATGTTGTCAAAGACAAAGTACTAGTGTGTGCAAGATATTCATACCATTACCTAAAAAATGGTAACACCAAATATCAACCAAACATTGTATAATATACACAACCATTCGCAGGATTCTGGGAGATCAATAACTATTTAACTGTACCAGATAATGGTCTATCGTGTATATGTATATATAATGAAAGTGAAAGGAGATTGAGGCTGTCATTCTGCATAAAATCTTATTTTGAGATTAATGGAAGAAAGAAAATCATACGGGTTGGGACGACATGACAGAAATATCAGTGGCATTCGTTTACTCCGGAAATGGGATATTATACAACCTCACCTTCGAATTAAAAAGTAGCTTTTGCGGTTTAATATCGAGCAGTTAACATGTTTCATAATTAAATACTGCTTTTTTGTAAAGGAGTTATTATTGTGTGAAGTACCTGTATTGCCAGGATTTGGAGCCCGTCCTGCAGGAACTCTGTGAGCCGCCGTGATGCTCCAGCACGGCTTCAGTCTGCATGCTCGGATCCTTCCTATGATATACAACTCAGCTATCACTTCACCTGCCGCACAAAACACCGACCAGCCGAGTTCATATGGCGGACCTAAAGTCAGAATGATTTGTTATGGCCGCTGCTTTAATCATCGCACTGGTTTAATGCTCTGAACTACAGAACCTCTGGCATGTTTATGTCTCGTGCAGCCATGACAGAGCGTGAAGTCATTCGCGATCCGCATCATGTGACAGGCGGTAGTCTAAAACATTCATTAAACCGCACAAACAGAATTATTAGGTTATATTTATTTTATGCATAGCATATTGATCACATCAATATAGTTTTCTAGAATGACATTTTTAGTGTTATTTTACTTCCGAACCGCCACATAATCTACCTTTCAAATTAAAAGTCTTAGGTGGAGACCAGACGGAAGCACGCTAGCTGAGCTCTCGTTTTGATTGGCCAGATGACGTTCAAAGTCAATTTATGGTGAAATGTCGATTACAAACATTTTTTTAAAATTATTATTTACCTGTATTATTATTTATATTATGCTGTATATTTTCTATTTCTTTGTTGTGTAGTTTATATTTGTTCAGTACCTTTATGTTATATGTTGGAAACCAATAATAAATAAAAAAATAAATAATAATAAAGATATATATATATATATATATATATATATATATATAAATAAAAAAC